CCCCAAAACCCCAAAACCCCAAAACCCCAAAACCCCAAAACCCCAAGTAAAGATTTATTTTAACAAAAATGGATTCTTGCCAGCAAACTGCTGTAAGGAAGTTTGAGTTTATATGTAGAATCGCAGATTAAAGATGATCAAAGGACATGTCGAAGCCCAAGAAACTGCTTGGGTTATGAAGAATATCCAGCCTCTTGATTTTTTCCCTAAGGGAGATCTCAAAGGAAAAACTTTGCTCATCACTGGTGCTAGTAGAGGTAAGCCTTGCTTGTGACCAACCTAGGGATCGGACTTGCTATTGGACTAAGAGCAGCTAAAGACGGTAAGCTTGACAAAATGCTATCTCAGCACATTTCTAGAGATTTTATGATACTTTTAGTACCTTAGGTTTAGAGTGACGTAATTTCTAGGAGCCAATGTTGCAGTTGCAGCTAAGACTACAGAGCCTCATCCAAAGCTTCCAGGGACTATCTATACTGCAGCTAAGGAGATCGAAGAGGCTGGAGGTAAATCTTTAGCCATCAAGTGCGATATCAGAGATGAAGAAAGTGTTAAGGAAGCTATTCAAAAAACTGTGGATACATTCGGAGGAATCGATATTCTTATTAACAATGCTTCAGCTATCAGTTTAACCACAACTCCTTTGACACCCATGAAAAAGTATGACTTGATGCATTCAATCAATACTAGAGGGACTTACATGATGTCTAAATACGCTGCTGAGCATCTTGCAAAATCTGAGAATCCTCATATTTTGAACATTAGCCCTCCTCTTGATATGTTCAGCCAGAACACTAACTGGTTTGCTCCTCATGTAGCTTACACCATGGCAAAATATGGAATGACTCTCTGCGCATACGGAATGTCTGGAGAATTTAAAGAAGAAGGAATTGCATGTAACACTCTTTGGCCAAGAACAGCTATCGCCACTTCAGCTGTTAAGAACCTCCTTGGAGGAGACGCAGTCATGAGAATGTCAAGAACTCCAGAAATCATGTCAGATGCTGCTTATATCATCCTTACTAGTGATTCCAGAAAGACCACCGGTGGATTCTACATGGACGATGAAGTTCTCGCCTCTAACGGAGAAGACCACATGGAAAAATATAACTGCATCAAAGGAGCTAGGAATGACGACTTAGCAGCAGATTATTTCTCATAAGTAGCATAGGTCATTCTTGTTCAATATTTCACAGTCATAATGGGGTTTTGGGGTTTTGGGGTTTTGGGGTTTTGGGGTTTTGGGGTTTTGGGG